ATGTGCTCTTCTACTATTTTTGTCTCTGCAGCTTTCATTCTGGATATTTTTTGCCAATCTATCTTCCAGGTCACTAATTCTCTCTTCAGTTATATCTAGTATGCTGTTAAACACATTAAATTCACAATTCAATTACTATAGTTTTTTTATTACTATAGTTTTTCTAGAATTTCTATTTAGTCCTTTTAAAAAAAGTTTTCATTTCTCCACCCAAACTTTTCATCTTGCCTTCATTATCTTGCTAGTTAGAAATGTGGATCTAATAATGCCTATATCTCCTCCTATGGATCTGTTTCTTTTGTCTGTTGTTTCTGCAAGATTTTATTCATATTGTCATATCTCCTTGTGTGCCTAGTTATTTTTGATTGTGTACTGGGCCTTGCACTTATAAAACTGTTTGCTATCTAGAAATAATTTTATCTAATATGTTGTCTTCCTCCACAAAGAATTTAAATTTATTTCTACTAGGTATCTGGGGACACTAGCAATTTTTGTTTACCTCCATACAAGTTCAGCAAATGAGATGATAATCTGAAGCTGAGTGGCAGTGCCTATATAAGGGCCAATCTCTGAGTTACCTTTACTTCTAGGAAGCAGCCTTTTATTGGTCCCAATACAAGGCAAAAGAAATTCACTAAGCACTATTAGAAAGCCCTGAACTCGAATCCCTGTCTCCTATCACAAGGCAATCCAAAACACTACTCAGTCTCTTAGCAGCCCGTTCCAGAATTTTCAAATGCCCCCAAGGAAAAGAGCCCCATATGCTGAAGCTCCCCACACTAGGCTTTTGTGCTTCCCTAGATCTTGACCTAATAACTCTTCACTAACTTACTGGCTCTCTAGGGGCAAATGCAAGCATGGGAATGTTGGGAGAAAACTGGTACAGTTGTTTCATAGGCACACTTTTAATTAACACCTCTAGTTTTAGCCACTCATTTCATTCTCTTTTTCTTTGTTGTCATCTCTATGCCCACAGCCTCTTTAGAGTTTTACTATAGCTAGGTTCTCTTCCTCACACAAATACTCTAGCTACATATTCTCACTCTACCTGCTGTATTATCTGTATCACAAGATTCAAGCTACTTTTATATTTCATAAAGTTGTTAAAACTCTCTTCCACCAATTAACTGCCCTCTTGTTATCTTTGTATAGGTGTTTGAGCCATCATCCTACATGAGAAGTTCCAAGCCACTCATTTTACAGGTGAAAATATTAAGAACCATAAAGAAACTGATTTGCCCTGGTCACAAAGAAATCTTGCTATGAGGAATAGGGCTGGACCCAGAACTCAAGTCTCCTGAATCACTGCCATCCTATGCCTCATACCATATGTCGCCTTTATCACAGAAATTTTGTTGTGAACATTGTTATGTTTTCATTTATTTATATTAATAGAAAATAAAACAATATTAAAAACCGGCCAGTACTCATGGTTGTACAGAACTTGAGGAAACAAAAAGGAATAAGCTATACCAATTATTTCATGTTAAGGCTGTAACTGTTACTTCTAAGTACTGCCAGACTTAATATTAAACACTTTTTAAAGGTTAAACATTTCATGGAATGGTTTCACAAAACAAATAATCTTTACTATTTTGTCAAAACAACTTGAGATTTTTGAAGGAGAAAGAAAAACTGCTTATATGTATGAAAGAACTGTATACATGTTTTCCCCACTAGAGCTTCAAAACCCTAACGATTATTTAATTTTACTGTAACATAGTTGGTATTTATGAATACTAAAAAATTTTCTTTTAAAATTTATTTTAGGCCAGGCACGGTGGCTCATGCCTGTAATCCTGGTTCTTTGGGAGGCCAAGGCAGGCAGACCACGAGGTCAGGAGAAGAGCCCATCCTGGCCAACATGGTGAAACCCTGTCTCGACTAAAATACAAAAAATTAGCCCTGTGTGGTGGCATGCACCTGTAGTCCCAGCTACTCAGGAGGCTGAGGCAGGGGCCTTGCTTGAACCTAGAAGGCGGAGGTTGCAGTGAGCCAAGATGATGCCACTGTACTTCAGCCTGGTGACATAGCAAGATTCCATCTCAAAAAAAAAAAAAATGTATTTTAAACTTAATTCCTAATAAATTTTACTAACATTTTTAAAGGAACAAAAACAAAATAAAAAAAAACAAAGACAACTATAAAAACAATTCAAAATTAGGAGCCAGAATATTTTCTTCTGGTTCCAACTCTTCCATTTAATTCTGTACAAGTCATAGGCCCTACCTGTTCCTCATAAAGCTCTAATTTAAATAGAAGATTAACTAGTTGTATAAACCATATACTGTTGCTATAGTTTATTTCTCAAAAATGTAAAAATACATGTGCTTGTGAATTAGTTTCCTATTGCTATTGTAATAGCCACAAACTTACTGCTTTAAAGCAACATAAATTTACGATCTTACAGTTCTAGAGGTCAGAAGTCCAAAATGCATCTTATGGGTCAAGAGGTAAGCAGGGCTGCATGGTTTCTTCTGCAGGCTCTGGGAGGAATCTGCTTCCTGCCTCTCTCAGCTGGATGGAGACTTCTTGTATTGCTTGGCTGTGGCCCCACATCACTCCAAATTCTGCTCTGTCATTACATGTCTGACTATGACCCTCCTGTTTCCTTTTTGTAAGAAGAACTCACCCAGCTAAACCCAGGATAAAACTCCCATCTCAAGACCATTAATTTAATCACACCTGCTAAATTCCTTTTGCCATGTAAAGAAACATATAAATTCCAATGATCAGGATGTAGACATCTCAGGTGGGGCCATTATTCCACATGCTACACCCCCAAAGAATCACTGACAGATGATTTTCAAGTATAATAGTGACAAAAGGAAGTTTCAGAACATACAAATCAATTAACTATACAATGGCAATGTTTTAATATGGAATATGACAGACAATCCAACTCCTCTTGTCAAAGCGTTAGCTAATCTATTGTTGAGCTTATTTTAGGAAAACCAAGCTTTTTTTCTTTTTTGAAATGAGAATGTGCCATGACTGGATTATTTCCCTATTCTACTTTGTGCCTCATAGCCTCGTGAAGGATGGAGAGAAAAGAGAAAGGGGGAAAGGAAGCTAAAATCACTTACAAAGTGTTTACTTTCCCTATTAGAACATAAGATAGGAGGATACCATAAAACTTAAAGTAAGTTATAGCTATGAAAATTGAAACTGTTCTTGAATATAACAGTTGTCTTATAGAGATAAATACAATTAACTGAAAATTGTTGAATAGGTGTTTAGTGAATATTTGTTCATTATTACTAAGATTCTAAACAGAGGTTAGGTCAGAGTCCTTGTCCTGTCAAAGTATCAGTGGTTCGAAGTTTTCAACAAGTCTCTCCATGGTACAGGCAATAAAGTGCCAAAGGCCCACATCTTGTTTTGGTCCCAGGGCTACCACTAACACCCTGTGAGATGGGAGAAGCAAGTGAGCCTTCTTCATCCTTCATTGCACCACTGATGCAGTGAGAGTTATAGTGGAGCTCATGGTGATTCTATAACATACACTATTCACATTACTACCAACCTTCAAAAGCAGGTGAATGATATGTCAGCTGGGATAAATGAAGCACATATTTAAAATGGTTACCTGTCTACAGCTACAAACAACTCCCCAAGACCTCTGATATTTCTCCCTTCTTGCTCCCTTTCTCCTTTCTCTCTCTCTCTCTCTCTCTCTCTCTCTCGAATGCACACACCAAATTATCTGTGTCAAATTATCATCTAATTCCAAATAGGAGATGGATTATGAATCAGAAGAATGTTTCATTGTTTATAACTTTCCATTACCATCAAAGTTTTCTAATTTGAACCATCATCCATTGACTTTAAAACTTCTTCCAGCACACTGGCTTTAAGTATGAATACAGCATGTGTCATTGGGAAGTTAAGATCACCACTACTGTAGATGCAAGCTGGGCATTCCTTCCAAACAGCCCCTTCTCCCTCCTTAGTTTCTCAAAGAAACTCTGGACTGCAATTTACTCTTAGTTACCAGGGACTTCAACCCCCTGGGCCGAACTGTTTCCCTTATCATAGGTCTCCGCAACAGAGGATCGGTTAGAAATCATTGATAAAGATTCTCCAAACCCAACATCTCTATAAGTAAACATTAACTTCTCTACCAGACCATCCAAAAGAGTTTTCTTTTTATTTCAAATCCCCTCTGTCTGCTAGCTGTAAACATTAGATGTTTAACTTCATTACAGTTTCTTTAGGCAAAAAGGTAATCTTGTTTTCATTGACCAAAAATAAAAAAAGAAAAAGAAAGAAAAATGTTCTGCTCAGAAAAATAAGGGGTAAAAAGTGTGGGAAGTGCTGATAACTGCAGTCTAGGAAACGTGAAGAGCTTTACCTTGAGCTGGCCCGTGACGCCGCAGCAGCTGACCGTCTTACCATGCAAGAGACTAAGGTTCAGGGTCAGACTAATGATTCTGACGTCCTGGGCTGGACACACAGTTGAAGTGAGACACCAAGGAAGAGACGGCCAGCCCAACCCCTCACACAGCATCCCTTCCTGGTTAATCCATGGAGTGACAATGACATTGACTGGCCTCATCCTGCCAATGAATGGCAAGGCACTGCAATGATGGCGCCTAGAAATGAACAGGAGTGATTGGGAATAAAAGGGGGAGGGGGGAAAAGGTGGCCATGATGAAGAAATGAATAAAACTCAATTTTCTGTTACAACTCACTGTCATCCCTATTACTCTGATTTCATAATGACAGGAGAAATATAAAAAAAAATGAAAGAAAAAAGAAATAAACAAAAAAGAAAACTTGCTACCTATTTAAATTCCTGCAGCATTCTAAGAATATGGGTTTGTACCCTATAGCCTGACTACAAAGAACTAGAGCAAGCAGTTGATTCAATTTAGCTCATAAACCTATAACAAAGAATTTTTTAAAAAATCATCAATGTTTCTAAATTCTGATGCTTTAGTTTTACTTTTTATTACAGCAGAAACTCAATCCACGCTATTAAAACAGACCATACTTACCAAACAATCCCTTGGGCACCAGAGCCAATCGATTTCAGCTGCTGGTAACGTTTTAGGACAGTGAAAGTTGAGTCTGCCACTTGCACACTGTAAAACTGACTGTCACATTTACTGTCGCTCATGATGTAGTGTCATGCAATATTCTGAAGGGCTGGCAAGTTTCAGATTCCTTCAAAGAAAAACAGAATGAACATGCATTCTTACTGAAAGTATACATACACAGCTCACTTAATAGTGTTCCAAACTTATTGGTATATAAGACAATGTGGCTTTAAGTTGATAAAGTCAATTTGACCAAGTTCTGAACTTGAGCAAGACACACAAAAAATGCAGACATTTCAGTGGTACCAGACCACTATGAAAGGAAGGAATTCTGAGGCCCAATAAGACCATATTTTAAGGGACTAGACTAGAAAATAACCACCTTTGTAGAGAAGAATTTATGCATTACTACTGGCTGTGAAAAGACTACATCACTCTATGCTTCTCATCAGCTTTCCCTCTGTGGAACCATTTATACCAGCTGTCTCAACTAGAGATGGGGGCATTGTTTCAAAATGATCACTTCTAGAATGCCTGAAGAGAAGTAAATGGGCCAGTCTTCTGCTCAGTGTACAGATTCAGGTTGAAGTGATGCACCAGAAAGCAAGATTCATATGCCAAAGTAACAGGCTGTTAGAGGCTTGCTGACATCAGTGTGCTGTGTGTACCCAAGCGTGTGCTCCTGCCTCAGGAGGTGGGGCCCAGAGCCGGCATCAGCTGGTACAGCCCCAGAGTCCCACATCACCACCGGGCTTCAGGGTAGATATCTGTATATGAAGAACTCTGCTGTTACCTACAGTCCATAATATTAACAGTATGAAGTCTATTCACTATGTCTGAGTGTAGACCAGCAGACCCAGAAGAAAGCAGCCTTTCTGTGGTTAAGGTATAGGCTGAGATTCCTACTCTGTAGGAGCCTGGATGATTTTCTACAGAAAACAAGCAAACAGAAATTGGTGAGTGGTTCCCAAGCTCTTATCTGATGATGCTTATTTAAAACTCAGCAAGCTATTTATTTTAGTCTTTTAAAACTATATAGCCAATAGGCCAGGAGCAGTGGCTCACGCCTGTAATCCCAGCACTTTGGGAGGCCAAGGCAGGTGGATCAGAAGGTCAGGAGCTCAAGACCAGCCTGGCCAACATGGTGAAACCCCATCTCTACTAAAATAATACAAAAATTAGCTGGGCACGATGGCGTATGCCTGTAATCTCAGCTACTCGGGAGGCTGAGGCAGAATTGCTTGAGCTAGGACCTGGGAAGTGGGGGTTGCAGTGAGCCGAGATCGTGCCACTGCACTCCGACCTTAACTACACGGTGAGAGTCAGTTTTTTGTATTTTTTTTTTTTTTAATAAAAGGGCCCCGGGTGCAGTGGCTCATGCCTGTAATCCCAGCACTTTGGAAGGCCGAGGCAAGGGGATCACAAGGTCAGGAGTTCAAGACCAGTCTGGCCAACCTAGTGAAACCCAGTTTCTACTAAAAATATTTAAAAAAAAGTTAGCCAGGTGTGGTGATGTGTGCCTGTAATCCCAACTACTCAGGAGGCTGAGGCAGAAGAATTGCTTGAACCTGGGAGGCAGAGGTCGCAGTGAGCTGAGATTGCACCGAGCTGAGATCGCACCATTGCACTCCAGCCCAGGTGACCTTGCGAGACTCCATCTTAAAAACAAAACAAAAAAACCCAACGATCTAGCCAACAATAAAACCATACAGGAAAACAGGTAAACATTCTGTATTTTTTAAGACTTTAAAGTTTTCTATAGCTCCGTCAAATCCCTTGCCTTTATGTTCTAGTATCTAATATTTAATGTCAACCCAATGAGATTTTTGTGGTGATGATTTGTATTTCAACACGATGATGTCTAGGATTTTCCTTAAACAGTGAAATAAATGGATTAATAACAAATCTAAATAAAGAACTGAGTCAAATTAGTACTTTCTCCAAGTGACCACTACCCCACAGTCTTCTCCCCATCCTCCAGGTGGTGGCTGCTAGTCTGACCACTCCTGCTGAGATGTGTTAGCATGCTGGCCAGGAGTGACTCCAGGGACACCATACCACTTTAGATGCTGAACAAACACAGCTGCTCAAATAACCTGCACAGCAGGAGTATCTGTCCCATGTTACCTGGGAGCAATCTGTCTAGGGCTGAGGGAGCTAGAACACCTGCCTAGGCCACACTGCTGTGAGAAGGGGATTCAGGAGCACCCCAGGCTGGCAGGTCATTGTGCCCTGAGCTGCAGGAGGTGCAAGGCAGGTCTGTCTTGCTCACGACATCTCACACTCCAAGGACAGAAGGACAGAAAGGTGCTGGTCTTTGGGACAGCATGAGCATTCAATAAACCTTTGCTGGTCTGATTCCCCACAATGCTGCTCCATTTTACTGACATCTAAAGGTTAGCTTAATTTTCTAAAGATTAACTTATTTACAGTTTGCAAGAAGCTGAAACAATTCCACTCAACATTTAGGGGGTGCCTTTATGCAAGAAAGTGGTAAGTATTGCAAGAGATATGCCATAGTTAGCAACCAGTCTTAAGCAGCATGTAATTTACTATTTGGGGGAGAAGTGTGAGCAATGAATCCATTATCTACATTACAAGACAAGTTACAATGAGGTAAGAGTCATATAAGCAAAATGTAAACAAAATCAAAAGGCAAAAGAGATCCTACCCACTGGCAGGGGTGTGGAAGACAGGGATGGCTTCATGGAGGAGGCGGCATCTGCCCTTAGACTGTTTTGCCAGAGATGGAAGTAGAGGCACAGAACTCAAACTGACTGTGTCCAGACATGGCGAACTGCTCAGCTTAGCTAGCAGGGTACAAGTGCAAAGGATTAGAGACAACTCAGCAAAAAGGCAGGCATCCTGCTCTACTGGGGGGTGGCTGTTCCTCTGCTATGCTGTAAACAAACCAGCAACATGGTCACTTGCAAACATTTACTGAGCACCTACTGTGGATGATGAGGTACCATTCCATGACATATTGCCTGCCCTCAGTGAGTGCACACTCAGGAAGAGGCCCTATATACCAAGGGTCCTAAACCCAGTGGGATGAAGAAGATTTGGGGGAATGAGGAGAAGCAGCACAGGTAGAGGCATATTCGGAATGTGAAAAGTCACTAGGGACTTTGCTGGGTAGAGGGCGAGTGAAGCTGGAGAGAGAAAAAGAGGCCAGATCACTATGAGCCCCAGAAGCCATGCAGAGCCATCTGGCCTCAGTCCTGAGGGCTGTGGGAGCCGTCAAAGCATCACAGTTGCGGCATACGTGCTGAGGTGCTCCAGGATCCATTCCTCCCTTCTTCACTTTCATAAGAAAAGCCTCCCATTCCTGCTGGATAAATGGCTGCCCAACTAGAGATGATGCCTGGCAGCTTTCCCAGTAGCCACGTATGGCTAGATGACCAAGTTCTGGCCAGTAAGATGTGAGTAGAAGTGATGTATGCAACTTCCAGATCACTTTTATTATTTTTCTTTACAGAAAGCTGCTTGCCTTCCAATCTTTCTCCCTTGCTGCTGGCTGAGTGATCAGCTGTCACAGACCTAGAGATGGAAGTCACATGCTACAGTTGTCAAGCTGCCCACCAGCTGGATTCTTCAACGACCTTGTGGCACACAACCACCCCCCATTCAGACCCCTTGCCCACTCTGGGACTGACAGACCAATCTCAACCCTGCTGACCAACTCTGGAACTCTCCCTGCTATAACTGCTTGCAACTTATACTTGGACTACGACAAATTAGATTAGCTTCTTTAAATTTGGGGAGTATATTCAATCGTATCAGGTTTTAGAATTATTAATATAATTCCATCTCAAGATTTAAAATAGTCCAGGCATAATGGCTCACACCTGTAATCCCAGCACTTTGAGAGGCCAAAGTGGGTGGATCACTTGAGGTCAGGAGTTCGAGACCACAAACATGGTGAAACCCCATCTCTACTAAAAATACAAAAATTAGCCAGGTGTGGCAGTGCGTGCCTGTAATCCCAGCTACTTGGGAGGCTGAGGCAGGAGAATCATTTGAAACGGGAGGTGGAGGTTGCAGTGAACTGAGATCATGCCATAGCAGTTCAGCCTGGGTGACAGTGAGACCTCCATCTCAGGAATAAAAAAAAAAGATTTAAAATAATTCTAAAATTAAAATAAGGTGCCTTTATTAGGCAGAATAAAAAAGTCACCTAAGTGAGAACCTGTCAAAGCCACCTTCTCTGTCAAGCTTGGGCTTTGTGAGAGCAAGAGGAAGAACCTCAAGGCCATCTGAGAGAGTATGTAATTCAGCTATTCATGAGTCAACTCTACGGAGATATTTCAACAAAATGGACAATCAACTAAGGCTCAGAAAACAGTTTTACAAATTGGGAAGTACAAGAATTCTTCAAGAAACCACATTAGCAATACATCCAACCCTGCATTCGCTGCTTCCACTTCCCACACCAGCTGGTGTTGGCTCTTCCCCCTCAGCTCCCAGGCTATGCTGCCACTGTGCGACCAGCGCAGGGCTCCTTCTTTGCCATTTGTACACTCAGCAGTGCCCGCCAGGCTGCACTGTCACAGTCTTTGTAAGGTCTACCTCCTTTCCAGGTTATGAGTGCCTCAAAAACTGGGAGGGAACACTATAAGGAGGCTTCCTGGAGGAGGCAAGACCTGAGTTCAAGTTTGTTCACAGTATCAACCAAGGCATGAGGAAAGAGGCACTTTCATACACATCAGTGGGAGCTGTGAAGTGGTAAAACATTTTTTTTGATGGAATATAGATAATAGCAAATAAAAATGTTAAATGCACATCCTAAACTGGCAAATACAATTCTATAAATGTATCTGATGAATATGTGTTTAAGTATCCAAACATTTGTGCAAGGATGTTTGTAACACTTCTTGAAACAGGCAAAAAACTAGAAGTAATCTAAAATGTACACTGTGGATAGACTGAATAAATTATGGCACAAAAGCACAAAAAGGCCATTCAACAGAATGCAAGGACTTTATGTAAAATGTGGAAAGATGTCTAAGGTACAGAAAGAAAATACAGCAAATTGAAGAGAGCATATAATGCCTCTCTATGTAAACACACATGCACATACATACAATGCTAGCAAGTAGAGAAATAGTGGGAAATGAGAAACTGTCA